GACGACGGCGCCATAGAGGTTCTAGGGAAAGATGCTTGCATCTTTCTGTGTAGTCGAGGTTATTGCTCAATCCGAGTAGTCGCCGGGTGAGGCTTCTTTGTACATTTTCTACTCTCATTTTGTCCATGATATTCATGTTTGAAAATATGAGTGAACAATATTCAAGTGTGGGCCTTATACAGATTTTGAAGAGAGTAAGCTTAGCCTCACTTGTGAAGAAGTTCTTGTTTATGAACCCAATGAGTCGTCTAGATTTAGAGATAATATTTGAGGCATGTTCTTCGAATTTTAGGCTTTTAGAGTAACTAATACCAAGGTCACGCGCTGATATGAGTGTCTGAACTCTACATTTTTGTAAGTAAACTGGTGAATCAAGGTGACGCTTGCTAAAATGCATTATGGCACATTTGTTGTGGTTAAACGGCAGTTGCCATGTCTCGCTCCAGGTACTTAAGTTATCAAGATCACTCTGAATCTTAGCTATATTTTCGTGCAGATGTGCAGGCTTATAGCTGTATACTATTTTCAGATCATCAGCATATAAGTATGCTCTTCCAAATTTTATATACATCGCTTGGTTCATGTCATGACTTTATTGTGGACACAGGAAGTATAGAGGCCATTTTTTCATTCAAGAACTTGAAATCCTTAGATCCTGACTTTGTGGTTCGACCCACAGAAGTATCAATAATGGGGATTACTGGACACAGACTGCCTATACGAGGATGTTGTGAATTGCTAATAAGAGATGATAATTCCTCATACATACCTTGTGAATTCTTAGTTAGCGAAACAGGACTGTCAATACTGGGTTTAAAGAATTTGAAAAGACTTAAAGTGGAGTTGTCTTTCCTAGTTTCTAAAGAAAATTCTGATGCTTTACTTAAAGATTTGATAGCCACGTGTGCTAAGTGCAATGGAGGTATGAAAACAGTTCAGCACAGGAGTGCTAAGCAAATTCAACATGATGACTACATTTCTAGACAGTCATTACAAGATAAACCTGTTAATACTTCAGACTGTTTGTTGGCGCAACCTTTACCAGTGAAACGTCCAGATCTCATTAGAGAAACTCGTAGAAACTTTGGATGTATAATTAATGCTATACGGAAAGGTTGGAATGCTAATCTGAAACGCAGATTCCCTATCTATTTTTCAAAGCGTGATGAGCTATCCACTACTCCTGATGGTATTTTATGTTTAAATGATCCTCCTTCATTGGGTAAAGCTATCCTGGAAGATCGTCATAGTGGACATTTAGGTGTTGAGAAGATGAAGTCCTTGGCGAGGCTCACGTGTTAGCGGCCACAGATAAATGCAGATATTTGTCGTAGAGCAAACAATTGCGAAAAGTGTCATAAGCTGAAAAATTAGCATTCGAAGTGGATTGATTCTATTCCCGCCTCAACATTTAATGAGCTGGAGAGGGGAGTAGATACCTTTCTACTGCAATATAGAAATGGCAGACATTCGGTGACGAAAGAGACTCTATCAAAGCTATTAAAAGGAAGAATTCTTCGGTCGAACATGAGATGTTTGGAGTCTGCAGAAGTTACATATTATCGTGGCACTGATCTTCGACCATCCACGGGGATTGTTCTGAAGAATGTAGGGAAATCTATGGTGCGACTTCTAATTATCAGTGACTTAAGTACACACAATCGACATGTTGATCAAATACAATTCCAGGAACCAGGTGAGTTTGTTCCAATTTCGGTTGTTAATTCTAATACTAATGAGAGCATTCTAGATAATACAGAGCCTTTATCCAATACACTGTCGGACAGACACAGGATGAATTTGAGAAGAAGACGTACAATTGATTACAGACACTTGGATTCAAATTTAAGCTGTGGAGGATGTGGTGTTTGAATTAACTAGTGACTTCTTGTTGTTGTTGAATGCTTGATTTCGAATTCTAAATGCAGTACATTCGTTTGTACTCATCCCATAGTTCTTGATTCACATACTTCTAATCATCATATAGTGTTAATCACTTACGCCAGTTGTTACGTCCAGTTTTTTGCTCGTTGATCTTACGAAGCACTGTTGTCGTCTATTTGTAATTCACGGTCCCAAATTTCTATACCAAGAACGAAACTCCAAAGTAGATACCAAAGTTTATTCCAAATCACAAATTCGACCAAAATACTTTATTACAAATAGACGACCAATGTCGTTCTAACAACAATAATTATAATAATTACAATTACCTTCTAATTTATTATCTCTTGGAGCAAAAAACTGCAACGAACAACAAAGAGAAACGGGAGTCCAATATGTCCGCAAATAATAATTCAAACAAGTTCATAAGTTAAGTAAAACAAATATACCCAAAAAACAGTGAAATTAATGATTATATATATAAAGGTTTGATCAGCAAAATGTCTTCGTTTCTCCCGTAACACCAGTTGCTAGTGGTAAAGCACAAGCTGAAGACCAGCAATCTCTAAACTGCTCTGTTTTCTGCCCTTCTTTCTCGTTGTTTACGAGTCTTATTCATTCTCTTCATGTTGTCATTTGATTCTTGGCTCAATGGGTATTTGGGTTTTCTTCTTTTCCCTTCATCTTGGAGATTCCAAGTTAGGGCGTGCGATGTGAACGGATAAGCAATACTCTGATCATATATATACAGTTGCTTTACTGCTCTCTTTTTCGCTCTCACTTTTGTCCCTTCTCAGAACCCTATTACAGCAGTGAAGCAATCATGGTGCTTCTATGCTGAATGCACCATACGTGCGTGCACGTCTAGGTCACAGTTTACATCAAACGCCTTTCAATCAGTAGCTGTGGATTCAACTACGTATTCCATTTGTCGATTAATCGAGGGAAAGTTAGTAGTTTGCTGACAAATAAAAAGATCTGTACTTATAGGCTTTTTAAGATCATGCCCATGAATCTTCTCTTCCATAATACAAGAAAAATCGGGGGTTTTTAGGTGGAAAATTAATTAATAAATTAATTAATCACTATATGTTCGACACAGGGGCTGGTTGTTAATAAACAACATTCGAGTTTATTAGGTCAAACAAACACTATACACGGAGTCAAGAATTTTCAAGCATCTAATCCTTCAGCGATCTTATTTAATCACTTATGGGTTTTAAAACTTTGATCAATCGCCTCGAAAACTAGTAGCTCAATATTATTCACAATCTACCTGGACCTTGATGACCAGTGCGAATAATAATGAAATTGGAATAAATTATTTCAAAACTTTAGGTAACTCAGATTATTTCCTTTGGTCGTCTTAAAACTACTCTCTCCATTTCTTGTTGCCGTCAGTTTCCTGATATTATCAGCCTACATCAAAAACCGATGATAACAGAAGGCTATGAAGGCTATTCACATACAAGAGAAATAACACTGTTCCAAAAACCGTGCGATAGGATGTTCCACTAAAGTTTTCCAGCTATATATCTTCGATTCAACCTGTTTTTCGTTGTGCTACTCATGGTGTTATAACCTTGATAAACCTTCCTAGCCATCTCTTCTTAGGGTTCCTGTTCTGTTGTTTAATCTACTTACAGTGCTGAGCAAATAATACTGTGTATGCTTGCTTTTCCGATTTTGGTCCAGCTTGGGCTAACAAATCTATTTTGACAGCAATCTAAATATGTATGTCCCACAATCTTTTAGTTGAACATTGACTCCATTTTATCGACTTCTCAGTTTCTCATTTTTCACACTATCGGCAAACAAGTGTTTCTGAACAAACATCGTTGATTCGTCCAGTTTGCATCCATTTTCTAGTATTGAATCCGCCACTTTTGTGGATTCGAACACTGCATTAAATTGCATAGCTTCATTTTATTTTAGATCATGACGCGAAACTGTAGTCCTGAACTACGGCCCTACTACACAGATAAGATCACAAGCTCCTACCCCTGAGACAACACTGATAAATTTTGGAACAGTTCCATTTCAATATCTTGGCTAGTTGCATTATCGGAACTCTATAAGTATGACATAGGTCTATTATTCTGATACCACAGATAATTGCAATAAAACAATCCTAGACCTAAAGCCTACAGTTGCAACAGACAGCAGTATGTATTTTAGGGGGTACACAGTTTCTGACCCACCTTAATTAATTTATGTTTTTAAGGGGCATCTTTCTGTTTATCTTTATGGTCTAAATTGAAGTAACTAATCATAAATACTGGTATTATTCTCTTATTCTATTTATCGATCTGACTAACGGTTGTAATCTTGCGTAAACTGCATTTTCACCCGTAAAATTCTACTATGAGCAAAATCAAACGTTTAACTTAAGACCATTGGGTGAGTTATTGAGTAAAACTAGATATCACGTTTGCACTGAAGGCCATTCGTGTGAACAGCAGACCGAGATTACTAAGATCGATGTAATCCTCAAAAAGGTGCACATCAAAGAGCGAACATTCATGTTCGCGCACACTTTTTCTCATAAGAGTTGTCACAACTTGGAATGCTCTCCTAGCGGAAGTGACCATAGTCCCCTCAGTGGACAGCTTTAAGGAGAGAATTTATAAACACTTACTCACATACGGATTATCATCTCCCTCGTGGACCAGCTGTGCCTTACGCATGTCTTTGGACCTGCTAGTTTATATTATTACCATCTCCGCAGATCAATAACTTAATCTATCCCGCTTGTTGTCTCTGTTCCCCCTTCCTTGCTTACACTTCGGCCCTCTCGCACAATCTTCACTATCAATTAATAAACCAAATTATCGATTCATTGACTTCGTTCTGAAACATTCTTCTTCTGCCCTGAAGCAAACGTACTCACTCAAATCACGGGACATACACACTCACAAACCACTAACAACTGACCAGAATTAGTGCAGTCGGGTAGTGAGACTACTATCCATTGGACTTTAACAAACACCTGGAACCGCACCGAGAGAACAAGAATCGAGCTGAAGGAAATCAGTTGGTTTATACTAGCTCGGGTAAAAGATATTGGATTTGGTCTTTTTTCCTACTGGCCGCCTCGAGAATCACTCGTTCGTGTCCTTGTTCCTGATCTGCCTGACCTTGATGTGGCAGTCGAGTGTTATGGGGCTCGGTGACAAGTGGTCTCGACTGGCAGCTTTAACTGTTAAACGTAGTAGCTACGCGGGGCTAGCATTTTCTGTCCCGATATTCGGCTCTCTCGTCTACTATGTTTACTTACACAATGATAGTAAACGAGCAGTTTACAATCATATTTTAACAGCCAAAAGATTCCTGAGGTATTTGTGACCCAGCCATTACTAATTTCACTGTTAGAGCTGTTTATACTGGGACTCTTATTTCACTAGACTATAAATGGACTATGACCGTATATCCACATGCAAGTAAAGTCCGTTTATATATGTTTTTGTGTTGTCCTGTATCTTTAGGGTTCTAAACACTATCATGATGAACTGACGAAATGTCATCAAAGAGCAGCAGACAGAATATTACAAGGTTGTCTTCATAATGGAGGTTTATATATTAAGATGGGACAGGGTTTAGCTAGCATGAACCATGTCTTACCTATTCAGTACACGGAAACGTTGGAAAAGTTGCATGACCAGGCACTTGTACGTTCAACGGACGAAGTAAGTTGATGAAGCGTTCATATTAATTCAGTAAATCACCGTTTACTGTGCTTCGGCTTTGGTGGTTGGTCAGCCAGTTGCAAGTCTGAACACACGAGGCCGCTTTACAGTCATTGTTTCAACTTTCTTCCGGATGTACATTGTATTGACTTCTTCACATCTAGGGGAAAAATAAGGTATCAGATTCCTCTAAACTGTCAAGTTAACCGTAGCTTTTCCGGACTCATAGGTAATATATCTGTGGCAGGCAGTTGCAACAAGTTACATAGTACTTAGATATATGCTCGACAGGTTCAACATATTTACTTCTCCCTTTACAAAATACGATATCTAACTGGAGTTATCAGTATCAAATGTAGTGAGTTCGTAGCCGTACTGTTTTTATCCTAGGTACCACTGAAAATTATGTAACTCATCGGTCAAGCGAAACATCTAGATGCCAACCGTTGAGGCTCTGATATAAATGTTTTAAGACCACAACTTTAAACCTTGTTATCTTTTACTAGATGTGAGACTTGGTATATGATATGTTCCAGGTTGTATAGTAACTGTGACGAATTGACCGAGTCCTCTATTTGATCTCAGTTAATTCTGTCTTTTAGATAATCCAAGCTACATTTCTGGGACTATTACTAAGTTAGTTCATACAATGAAGTTACAAATTAAGGGTAAGATTAATTATCATCAATTGGTTTCTTCAAAATCTTTCGTCAGGTGTTATTCACTTAAACGCAATCACCATCTACCTAGAAATACTGATGTTGAGGCCCTGGAATACTATCTTTCGCAGTCCGTTAGTTACCTGAAACCGCGCTGAAAGGCCAGAATTTGGGCACGACGAAATCAATTGCAATATATCAGCTCGACAAGACCATATTGGTTATTGGATACTTTGTTTAAGCATATGAAGGTCGGACGTTCATTCAGTGCGGTTTCTGTTTCTAAGTAAAAATGAAAACTGAGGATGAGACTAGCAACAAGTTGGATATGAGTTTAGGTAAGACATTTTGATCCCAAATAAATTGTTATTCCTTGATAAATTTATGTTTGGAATAGAATTTAGGCTTGGAACTAGGCTAACAATTCTGGGTTCGTCTCCTACACCTCGGGATTACGACTAAAGTCTGTAACCTCAGCCTTCGGTTGGTTTGCGTTTAACCTGGAGGTACCTTGTGTGCTGGGGGGGATGTTAGGAGCGGCGTATGAGATTATCTGGAAGAAGAAAGAACAAGAGATAAAGATGAGCCGACGACTCAGTATGCACATAGAATGCACTTACATGCTATGTACTAATAAGTAGACAGCAACCAGATATAAAGCCAGCGTAAGATTAAGACAAACTGATAAACGAAACTAGGAGTTGATAGAGTTAGGTTTCGAGTGCGTTACAGTCTACTATCTATGGACCGCGCCACTTGTACGGGCTCCGATAGAATACTAGTTGAGTGGGATTATTACGAAATCGTCGGAACTGATGATCAAAAAAGTGATGATTAGCGTTGCGCACTTTTCTTGTCTTTTATCTAGGCTTGAGCATAGCCTTTCTATTGTCTCGTTTCTCAGAAATTGATCCACCTTGGGATATGCCTGTTGGTTTAGAATACGTCGATGACTTGGTGGAAACGCCTACACATGCATGAGGTCACTGACAACTGGACTGGGCTATGTTAATAGGTGTAGACTACCTGGCTGGGGACCTCGAGACATTTTTAATCGTCGGTTAGAGACTTTGAATGACATGTCCGAAAATTGTTTGCAATTGTGTAGGTGCGTCCATTCTTTGTCTTCTCGTAAGTCCTGATATGAGTTCTTCATGTCATTTTTTGTATTTCCCAATTTATTTCACTGGGATATCTTCGATCCCTTATCTTTTCGATTACCACTGATACTGCTACTCCCGACTTGGTGGTGGGGCTTGCCTATCGTGACGGTCCAGTCGAGCTATATTGGCTGGAACATGTGTCCCTGAAGGTTCTATCATGCCGAGCAGGTCGATTGGAGAACGATGAGACTATAAGCAGTTACTCAAGGTCTGAGGACGAAGTCGTGCTGCTGACTGCAGGGGGGCGTTACAGCAGTAAGGTGTTTCCTTAAGGTGCTACCTTCTCACAAGCAAGGAAGGGTTAAAAAAGGTCGACCTTAAAAATGTCACACCTCAGAGATTTCCGTCTCCGGCGGCAAGTGCTGCCCAACAAGGGCTTTTAAGAGCGGAGCTAATACTCTAAAAACCATTCATAGAAAGGCCGTGCGTGACCGGCCTCAATGAGTTATCCCCGAAACGTTATTCCTGATCTCCTGAAACCCCATTCTAAACTATATGTTGGAGTATTTAGTGTACATTGTGTCGAATAGGGCGACAGGCCTCATTAGTTAGGACTTTATAATCTCGCGCCATCGATGTATGCTGCGTCTCGCCTCTTCGTCGTATCTGCCTACGCCCCCTCTGACTGCAGTTCAGACGAGGTGAAAGATGAGTGTTACAGAAAACTTCCGGACCTCTTCCAAAAAGTTAGGCACTCTGATATACTAATAATCGCTGGTGACTTCAATGCTCAAGTAGGTAGACTCAGTGTAAACGAAAGACACGTGGCTGGATCTTATGGTGTCACGGCTCAGAGAACACAATAGCGACCGTCTGCTGCAACTATGCTCAGATAACCGCCTATTTCATGCAAACACTAACTTAAGCATCTCTTGACATGGCGACCCCCGAAGTCGTCACAATGTTGGACCCAAGCAGATCACATCACCATCAGCCACCGACGGAGAGGTTCGATAGAGGACTGTCGTTCGTTCTGGGGAACATGTTTAGATTCAGATCGTGCCCTAGTGCGAACGCGTATTTGTTTGGAATGATATCCAAAAGGCTGTGGGTACAGCAGTGATATCTGCTAGTAAGGTAAACCATAAGTCTAGGAAGAAGCCGTGGATCTCAGTGGCACCTACCGAACTGATGGATGCTCGAAAATTCGTCTCACCTGGCTGTGAACATAATGAGGAGCGAAGTCAGCTTAGGTGCAGGCTGATAAAATACCTACGCAACGACCGCGAACAGTGGTAGTGGGTAGCAAAAGCGAGAGGGATGGAAAAGGCAGCGGCGATGGGCAAAATAATGCAACTATTCAAACTCATCAAGGAAACCGGTGTTAGAAATCCATCTGTTAGCGAAACTATCTCGGAAAAGGATGGTTGTATCATTCACCCTCAATCCAGGAGATTGGATCGACGGGCAGAACACTTCAAGGATTAGTTCAATTGGCCTTCAGCCACACTTCGGTTACTCACGATCTCCAGTCATCCTGAATGGCAAATCGATTTAGGTCCTCCTAGTCTTTATGAATTTGAGAGAGTTATAAGAAATCTGAAGCGAGGGAGAGCAGCAGGACCTGAAAGATTGACCCCTGAGATATTTAAGAATGGTTTAGTTCTTAGGCCAAAAATAATACTTCGACGTTTAACGGAAGCTCATGAAGAGCAGACTAGAGAAAACCAGGCTGGTTTTCGACCTGGACGTGGCTGTATAGACCACATTTTCACACTACGACGGGTCCTGAAACACAGACACACATTTAGGCGTCTGACAATAGTTATGTTCCTAGGCCTAAAGGCGGCATTTGAGTCTGTTGATCGTGAGGTTCTGTGGCAGTGCCTGTCATTAAAAGGTGTACCAAAGAAGTACATTAGTCTTATGCAAGCTCTCTACTCGAATACTGCAGGTCGAGTGCGAGCTTATGGCGAACTGTCATCGGAATTGATTACTTCAATTGGTGTTCGTTAGGGCTGTCCACTCTCCCCATTCTTGATTAATTTTGTCATAGACATGCTCCTAGATATAACATTATCCTCATCTGAATTTTCAGGAGTCGACCTTCTACGAGGAGATCCATTGGTTGACTTAGAATATGCCGGTGACATAGTTCTACTTGGTGAAGACGCTGACAAAATGCAGTGTCTCCTGACTACCTTAAGCAACAATGCAACAATGTTCGGGATGCGGTTTTCATCCTCGAAATGCAAAATGTTGCTTCAAGATTGTGTTGCATCGGCACCTGAACTAGTGATAGGGAGTGAAGTAGTCGAGTGTGTAGACCGCTTCACTTATCTCGGGAGTTTCATCAGCTCTGATGGCCTAGTGACTGACGAAATCTTAGCATAGATACAGAAGGCTCGATCGACTTTCGTCATTTATGGCGTAGACGAGATATCCGTTTGCTAGCTAAAGGTCGAGTGTACTGTGCAGTAGTTCGCTCCTGTAAGAGTAGAAGATATTCATAGGTTACTAGAATCCGATCATAGATGTTTTAGAAGCATCGCTCGTGTATCTTGGGATAATCAAGTAGGCAATGCTGTCGTTAGAAAACGGGTGCTAGGTAGGGATGGCAAATCAATAGATGAAGTATTAAAACTTCATCAGTTGAGGTTGTTGCGACATGTGTTACGGATGCCCAACCACCGACTACCACGACGAGCGATGTTGTGTGGTTTAGGATTAGGTTGGAAGAAAGCTAACGTCGGACAAACCAAAACATGACACAAATTCATGAAGTCACTGACAAGAAAACTGAGTCATGTTGGTAGATATAGACTATCTCTGCCTCGTCAAGCTTTGTTTTGTAGTGTAGGAATAGGTTGGAAGAAAGCTAGGGGCG